GTTAATTTGATTTCATTCTAAAAAATTTTTCAAATCGATTAAGCTATACAATGGTGATTTTTCATTTTGCATTACATGGCATTCGAAATTTCGATCGGGTGATCAATTTTCGTTATTCTAAATTAATCGACTGAATTATCATTTGGTCAAAGGTTTTAATGAAGCATTTTGCTTGTTCAGATGATTTCAAGTTCTTTAATTAACTTTCGAATTAGCTAAATCATAAGGCATTATTAAACTATGTTGAGTTTAACCTATCGGTAATTTATACCAGTACGATCACATGAATGTGTAACATGAAATGAGTGAGGGAGGGTTCTGTTCAACTTTTTTGATGTTCGCTATGCTGATTTTTGAAAAATCCTTTTTTAGTATAAATAATTGTCATATAGTTCTAGAACAACCTTATACTTGGTTAGAGAGATATTAATTGATAATGGATTGTATAGTAGGTCCAGAAAAGTAACGGAAGATCGGAAAGTGCTTTGACAGAATCACGTGATTATACGATCGGGCAGCATTATGACAGGATCGGTAGTGTTGGGCGGCATTAGCAAAGTCACGTGGCATATGATCGTCGATCGATGAAACAATGATGGCAATGTAATGTAATTAGAGAATAGTAAAAGTTTATTAAAGTATAAGGATACATAAGTGATGTAATTAGATTAGAATAAATATAAATAGAGATAATAAATAAAGAAAAGCAGTTAGTAATCGTTAAATAAGAATTGCGTTAAGGAATAATTAAGTGTATTTTTACCTGTTAAAGTGTGAGTGCGACGTCTCTAAAGTAAAGAGATAGAGTACCTTTGAGTTAGATATCAGAAAACCGGATACTGTATAACCCCGTGATAGAGAAGAACCTGAACACATAACCAAGTTACTTTCATAACAACGAAGTGAAGTTTGAGAAAAGCATTCAACAAAAGTTCGAATTTCAGAGACAGTATAAAAGGTACGGTCATATATATAGCAAACAACATATAAGAAAATAGGATATACAGTTTTGGAAGTGATTGACTATATCTACGAAAGATTTAACAAAGCCATTCTACTATGGGAATTAGGATGAAGATCTAGAAGATTTCCTATTTGATTTTGAAATGTATGCCAAATCAAAACAGTGGGACAATGATCAGAAAGAGAAGGTTGTGGGGTTACATATTTCAGAGAAAGTAAGGGTGTAGGTTTGTGAATTAATGAAAGTTAGTATAGTGTGAACAGACTTTAAAGATGCAATAATTAAGGTGACCAAGACTAAGTATACCACGGAAGAAAAAATTGTTAGTCTGATGCGAATTAAACAGGAACAAGACGAATCGGTAACAGAGTACACAAATAGGTTTGAAATCTGTGCAAAAATCTTAAAGAACAGTGTACAGACATATGAAAAATGAAACTGGTACATTGCCAGATTGAGGTGTGACTATAGATCGAAAATTAAAATGAACTTTCTAGCCAATTTCGATGAAGCTAAGAATTTAATCTTAAAGATTAAAGCATATAGTAAAGATAATGAATATGATACAAAAAGGGTAGCCAAGATGCTGGTTGAAGAGTCCAAAGGAGGCAATAGTTTTGATATTGAGAGTTTGACTGCTGTGATGGAGAGTTTAAAAATATCCAGGGTCAAAAGGAAATCTGATGATAATATGCAAGAGATTAAAGATGCTATGAAACAATTGACAAAGGTGGTGACAGATCTAGCAATAAGAAGTTCTCCTCAACCACGAACTGATCGAAATATAGGATCTATATGATATTTTACATGTCAAAAGGAGTGGCATATATTTATAACCAAGTCAAAAAACTATTAAGATCATAATCAAGGTTTGTATGAAGAAAATGTGGAGCGTAAAGAACCTGATATGCAATATATAGATATGACCGAACAAGTTCCATGTGATGAAAAGATATATCTTGTGATTGAGTTGATGAATAATGAGAATGATGCTTTAAATGAAGAATTGAAAGATATTAAAAATTTGGATAAGAGAAGTTATCAAAATTTAGTTGGTGAAACATCTAATAAAAAAAGGAAACCCGTAAAGCAGTAAATTTAAGACATGAAGAACTATTGGCATCTCTAGAAAAAAGGAGTAAAGGGTCAGTAATGTATATTCCCTTGATATACTTGACAGAAGATTTAGATGTTTTAAAGACCATAGCAGATCTCAAGTTTGATATAACTCTGGAGCAATTGTTTAAATGGTCACCAAAAGTGAGAAATGAGGTTATGAAAGCCTTGACTCAAAAAAGTATGGATATTGACATAATGAACTTGGACGCTAGACTAAGATTTGTTTGAGAAAATCAAATATTTAAAAATAAAAGCAACATTGTACCAATGTGGCCTGCTTTAGTGAATGGTGAATTAGTAAAGATGCTGATTGATCCAGGTTCACATTTAAATTTAATGCATGTGAGTTATATGAAGAAAAGAGTATTAACTTGGCAACAAGCGTATAGGAAAAAGAGAATGGCCACAATAGAATAAGTAAATTTATAGGCCATATTCCTCAAGTGAAAATTGAGATAAAGGGAGTAATAATATATCAAAGCTTTTATATAATAGATTTGGCGAGTTTTGAAGTCTTGTTAGAAATACTTTGATTAGCTGGTACACAATATAATCTTTATTAGAAGAAAATTGAGTATTGGTGCTCTGTATTATTGTCAAATAGAGAGTTATTATTTGTTGTTTTGGTTGTACTATAGAATTGGGTTGAAAATAACGATGAAGATAAATTAGATGATTATAACGAAGAAGACAAAGAGAAAATTAATCAAG